ATTTAGTGTTCACTGATTAGAACAGCAAAACCATCAGCGAAGATCAATATATGTGAAATATTTTTGAATTGTTTCTGAAAAATAAGTAGGAATTTAAAATATGTGCAGACAGAAACCCAAATATGATGCTCAGTACCCAGCAGAATGTGGGGAGTAACAAATGTTCCATCTGGATGAGTCCTAAATGAAAGTTGTATGAAGAACTGAGATCTAATTGCTAATATTTCGATAGTTAATCAGTTCTTCAGAATACAGTGACTAAAATCCTCTTGTTTAGTGTGTTTATGTGGAAGGCAAACAGCTCAGTGAGGTTTGTCAAGTAATGGATGCTATGATTACAGGTTTCAGGCTGCAGAACACCTTGCAATCAGTTTTATTTCTCCACCCCCACCCCAATCTGTAATACTGATATAGTGGCATGCCAATTTGAAATAAAACACATTAAAAATAAAATTGCAGTAGCAATAGTGACTGGCTAGTACAAGGGCAGGTGGGCAAGGGCAGTACAAAGCTTCAATTGCAATGATTTTAAAAGCCTGTGTAGCTCCCTCAACTGATACACAACACAAATTAAAAACATTAAAAGTGCTCCCAAGAGAACACACACACTGACCCAAATATCATGTCACTACCATGTGAGTTTAGCCCAATTTCAGAAATCCCAATCCAGCTTGCCGATTCATAGTGTTATCATGCCCTGGGATGGTAAAATAGCATCTAATGGTGTCTCCACCCCTTCTGTTGTTTGTGTGTGTGTTTGTTTGATTGATTAATTAATTTGTATTTAGCCTGATTAGTGCAGATGGACTACTCTGGGTAATTTACAATAAACTAAAACAATACATTTAAATTGTTGAAGGGAATGATCTGAAGAGGGATGTGGTGGCGCTGTGGGTTAAACCGCAGAAGCCTCTGCGCTGTAAGGTCAGAAGACCAGCAGTCGTAAGATTGAATCCTTACAATGGAGTGAGCTCCCGTTGCTTGTCCCAGCTCCTGCCAACCTAGCAGTTCGAAAGCATGTAAATACAAGTAGATAAATAGGAACCACCTCGGTGGGAAGGTAACGGCGTTCTGTGTCTAGTCACGCTGGCCACGTGACCACGGAAACTGTCTTCAGACAAAAGCTGGCTCTACGGCTTGGAAACAGGGATGAGCACCGTGCCCTAGAGTCGTACACAACTGGACTAAATGTCAAGTGGAACCTTTACCTATGATCTGAAGGCTGATTATGGGGAAAAACCTTTTAATAAGCAGTAGCGTTATTTTGTGAAATCTCTGACATGAGCAGGCAAAAATCATAAACCCTTTGTAGTCCTATAATAAAAAAGGGTTGTGTGTATGGTATACTGATGAGTACCGATACCAAAGGAAGAACAATTCTGTTTAAAACAACTGATTGTGGCACGTTAAAGACCAAAATATTTTAATTGGTACAAGCCTCTGTGGACTGTTGTCTGTTAACTCTTTGGCTTTAATAAAACATTTTCACTGCAAGACTTGTTTTTCCTACAACAAATTACCACAGTTTCCCCAACCCACCCTGAAAAGATAGGCTCTCGTTGCCATCTGCAGTGTTGTGGCCTCAAGCTCAAGGTAAACTGTTTTCCCCAGTTTCTTCAAGCCACAGAATGTATGTTTCAAGAGATGGGGAGAAAGGTGGCCAACAAATAACATTACATAAATAAAAGAAATGCAAAGAGGCTAAGCAAGGTGGGGAAGGCCCATTACAGGAATAGAATTTAATATGCAGTTACTGTATTTTGGTCTGTGCCCTCTAATCTAGAACACGTACAACTTTATGATGAACCAATGCTCTATACCTAAGACACACTGGTAAAGGTCACCGTAAATCAGAACTGATTTGCCAAATTTTATTGTTATTACTAGTAACTTGGAGACATTAATCTCAGGTGACATAACTCAGACTCTGATTTTGTACACGGAAGATGGAAATAAAAATGCCCTGTTTTGTACCGAAATTGTTTCTCCATATACTATTTGACAACTGCTGGCGAAATCCCCATGAACTGCTGTAACAGCATTCAAACCTTTACTGTGAGGAAACCTTGCTTACAGTGTTCCAAATGCTGCATATTGGAATGTATGTTTCAGAGGAACCTGCTCATCTGATTCAGATTTTCATTGATTTGGGTGATGCTGAAATGGCTACACTGTTACACAGTGTAACAATATGACAGAAGGTGAAAGTGAATGGTGGTATAAATGCGGTTACCATTCAAATTTTCCTACTTTACAACAACAACTCACTATTTTTGCTCTGCAATTCTTACTGTACCCCCTGTAAATATTTTTTCACCATCTGTATTATTTAATCCAATTTTGTTGTAACAAAGTTTCAGATAGTTTGTGCCTTCTTTTAAAAGTACAAAGAAACATTTAATCTAACAAACCACCATGTACTCTTCAAGGAATCTGTGCACATTACAGCATAAGGAAAGTATGTCAGTTTAAGAATACTACTAGGAAGAAGTTATCTGAGGTCACTCATCTTGCCTCCTCACAGAGTGAGTAAATCAATTGTAGAGGTAAATGCTCCTGAGAAAGACAACATATAGGTTGTAATATCAATTTACATTAAGAATTATCTCCAGTTAACTGAAAGTCAGATATTAAGAACATAAGGTAATTCTGAGAAATAGCCTTATTTTTATTTTAAGCCTTACAAATTTAAACAACAATCTTTGTAGCCTTGTTTAGTGGGATGAGTCAAAACATAGCAGAACAATAAGTAAGAATTTAGCTTTCTTTAAGATAGATATTTGTGGACATTACTCAAAATGCTTTCTACTCTTACTTCCCACAACAACAACAACAACAACAACAACAACAACAACAACAACAACAACAACAACTACTACTACTACTACTACTACTACTACTACTACTACTACTACTACTACTACTACTACTACTACTACTAACCAAGGAATATCACATATAATACGCTGTAGTATGGTAGTATGGCAGTATGAACCCCAAAGTAATAATAACAAAGTAAATAATAACAAATAATGTGCCATCAAGTTGATTCTAACTTAGGGCAACCCTTTCCAGGATTTTCTAGGTAGAGAATATTCAAAGGTGATTTACTATTCTCTTCTGGGGGTGCCCTGGGACTACAACTTGGTCATGGCTACACAGGTTGATTCCTCCATGGAAATACTGTACAATGGATCCACAAACTCTGGCTCTGCAGCCGGATATGTAACCCACTGAGGTATTCAGCTAGTTCAGTTTCACTACAATCCTGTTACTATAACTTATGCCATAGACGTCTAGTGACATTAGCTGCAGCAGAGATTTATTTATTTATTGGAATTAAATTTTTTTACTTCCTTTCTGGAGCTTTGGATGCTCCTATGTAATATCTGTCATCAAGCTATTGAATTTGTAGGAAAGAGCCTCGTGGCGCAGTGGTCAAACCGCTGTACTGCAGCCAAAACTGCTCACGACCTGAGGTTCAATCCCGGGTAGCCGGCTCAAGGTTGACTCAGCCTTCTGTCCTTCCGAGGTCGGTAAAATGAGTACCCAGCTTGCTTGGGGAGGGGGCAATGTGTAGCCTGCATAATTAACTTGTAAACCGCCCAGAGGGTGCTTGAAGCACTATGGGGTGGTATATAAGCAGCACACTTTGCTTTTTTAATTACTGAAAATTGCTACTGGCATGAAAGTAATTCTGATGGCAGAAAAAAAATTACAGTAATTCATATATTTTACCATCCTTGTCCCTTAGCCTTAAAGCATGGAAACAGGACTTCAGCTAATGAGTGCAATATATTCCTCTCCACATGACTTCACCATCCCTTATTCGCAACATTAAAATAATACTTCCATTATCCTTTCTCTTAAAATTATAAGCAGGATAATGACTTGAGAAAGAACACCAAGCTTTTTTCCTAGGTTAGTCTAAACTTGGCTCTGGAGATAGATACCGTACCCATATTATTATATCTTGGCTGAATAAACTAAGGTATAAACAAGTTTCATGTTCCTGCCCCAGCTTTTGTTGTCCTTCATTCTTGACACACAGTAACTAACCCCAGAAATCACCATGTTAAAACTCCACAGCGAGTAACTTCAGAAGTCTTCAAGCAGGCATGTTCAAACTTGGAAATTTGGTTTCCAGATGTCGAGTAAGTAGCCATAATCTTGAGCTAATTTTAAATACTATCACTAGTGCACTGCCAATGGCTGAACTAGACTAACACGGCTATCTCTTCTACCACTCCAAAAACTTGTCTACTCCGGTTTTGCTGGATCTTTGCTCTCAAATAACCTAAGGAAGAGAGCTATGGCGGAACTCTTTTCCTCTGAATAAATTCAGCTGTTGTATTTAAATCTCACTTCGCCATGAGGAGTGGCATAATAAATATCAAATAGTGAAGGAGACGAGTGAAAGAGATCTCTTTCACGAAGGCACTCCTCTTGCAGACTGGTTGGCTATGGAATTAAGGGCTAAATTATATTGGACTAGATGTTACAGTAGTAGGAAGTTCCTTCTACTCTCCTTCACTTTTGCACGTGCAATCTGAAGAGCCCTAGAACCCACGATTTTGCCTCCTCATCTGCTTTTAGCATAAAATGACCCTCTCTAAGTCATGTGCAATATTTATTTACTTATCAGGTGTTTTTAACCAGTGCTGACATTGCTGGCCTGGTATAAAAGATCGTTGGCCATCTCTCATTTCTGACATGTTCCGGCATTACTCTCAATTTGGGAGCTTTAAAAATTCAGAGTCTTACGAGGGATGTAGCGTTTGCTCTTCACGGGTTAAATAAAGCAGCATAGGAAGCTGTGCCGCAGAGCATGCTGGAACTTGTAGTTCCGCACCCAAAGATGGCCCGCAGCTGAAACCGTGCGTCCCTAACCCGCTGCATGCGCGTAGCGTTTCGACCCAGGGCTTTCCAACGTGGTCCGGCACAGGTATAGAAAAGGGAAAGTTCGGGGGCTGTCCTGCGCTGTGCCTGACAGAAAACATGCGCAGCAAATTACACTTTCGCGTCTTTCGTTTACAAGAAATAGTCTGTTTTGTTGTGTACGGTCTGTTCATGAGGGAGAAAAAGCCCAAAGGCTCACAATCCGCAAAACGGGGATTTCTTTACAATCAGGCGTGAGTTGGGCCAACCCCAAAGGCAGGGTGAGAGGTCAGGCGAAGGGGGCCTTCCTTTTTCCTCTCCCTTCCCCCACCGCCTGACATGCCAACCCAGCAGTCGGCGGCGTAGCAGCTGCGCAAAAGGTAGGCGGTGGTCGTGGGAGTTTTGCTGGAGGGGGTTGGTGGGGTGGGAGGGGGTGTCCCCCAGCCGGTCGCCTGGAACGGGAAGAGACAGCGAAGGAACAGCCAGCTCCTCGTTGGAGAGGGAGGGTATGGCGAAGGGGATCCCTTCAGAGACTGCCTGTGTCTTGGTCAGTGCCGAGGGAAAGCTGGGGGGGGGGTCCGTTTCAAGGGAGGGGGGTGCCTTTTGGGAGCAGGACTCGGCCCACCCGCCCCCTTCATCCCGAGGCAAGAGGAGATGGTGGCGCGTCGGTCTTCGTAGGCAAGGCATCGGGTGCCTGGGC